CCATTTGGAGATTTTCCCTTCATGACATCACAAAGGGCAGTAGCCCCTCCCCCAGGTGGGTGACACTCCCACAGCTAGGTGTTTGTTCTGCCCTCTGAGTCTGCCTTCTCACCGTAAACAATAGAACATGGAGCGAGAAAGACCGAGTACACCTGAGCCCTTCCAGAGAGGGGGTGTGGTCAGACACAGCTCATTTACATATTTAAAGGTACAGACACAGAAACAGCCTGTTCTGAGCAGGGCTGAAATAGAGGGGTTTATAGACATGATCAAATACAGGATCAGAGTGGATTTAGAACAAGAAACTTCACACACATGTTTTGAGGAGCTCTGACACTTATTTACACTGAAGAGGAGGAGGATATGTGACCTTTAAAATGAAAGTAAATAAAATAAAATTGAGTTTTCATCAGTCGTTTGTGTGTGTTTGCAGAATATTGTTGCCACGGGCTCGGTGGACTGCAGCGTGTGTGTGTGGGACCTGAGGAACGCCCGACAGCCTGTCAATCAGCTACAAGGCCACACCTACGCCATCCGCAGAGTCAAGGTACACACACACACACACACACACACACACACACACACACACACAGGCCTGGTTTCACATATGCTGTCAAAACATCTCGTTTCAACACTTTGTTCACACATTCACAGCATCATTTGCGTGTGTGTGTGTGTGTGTGTTGGCAGAGATGCACCGCAGGGCCTGACAGCATCAAAACACCCACTTAAATGGATCTAATAAGACGACACACACACATTATCTCACACACACACATTCAGAAACACACACACATATTAGAAATGTTTGCAGAGCTGCAGCGGAGACCCCAAATGCCACAGACACATGCCACTTCACACACACACACACACACACACACACACAGACACACATACAGACACACACACACAGACACACACACACACACACACACACACACACACACACACACACACACACAAATAAACACAAATGCTCACCTCAGTTCACCCAATCAAACAGCTGTCTTGCTCAGGCTGTTTTTCAGGACAGGTGTCGCTTAGCGATCCGGAGAACTCACTTTAACACTGTCGGTGTGTTCGTTTGTTAGTGTGTGTGTGTGTGTGTGTGTGTGTGTGTGTGTGTGTGTGTGTGTGTGTGTGTGTGTGTGTGTGTGTGTGTGTGTGTGTGTGTGTGTGTGTGTGTGTGTGTGTGTTATCGCGATGTGTGTTTAGTCAGGGCTTGCAAATCTGTCCGCTTGTATCGATTAAGTGAAGGGAGAAGAGAGGAGGTGAAGAGATTCATGATCAGCGGAGACAAAAAATAAACTCAACAACAGAAACGTTCGGTCTGTTTCTGATTTTATTTCCTCTCAAAGGAGAATCAAATTTAAACATCCGTCACAGGTTGCAGATTTGACCCATGAGGGACGGGCTCATTTAGTCTAAATTCTAAACATCATAGAAAGCTGTCTCCCCCCCCTCCTCTCTAGAGTGGATGCTCACTCAGGTCACCATGTGGTGGACTCTGAAGCTTCAGTGTTTATCCAGCTCTGCATGGGTCTGTAAACCTTTCTGTTTTCTAACCTCTCTCCATTTTTCAAAAGCATCTCCAATATTGATCCTAGTTTGAGCACGTTTCTGCTCGTGGAGCTTATTAGAAACATGCAGAGGCTTTTTAGGTCGGGTACAATCACTTCTATCTGAACCACTTCTCTTGACCGCTTCCATCGCTGCAACACCTGTTGACCTGATAACTGCTCTCATATCTGGCAAACCGAGGGGCGTCCAAAACGGCTGTGTGGGTCGCCTTAAAAGCGCCTACCTTCTCTGGTCCAAACAAATCCAGAGCATTCAGGAGCAGAATCTAAAGTTAGAAGGAGGACATACTGGCTGCTGCATTGTTGTCAGAGAAGCCAGCACTTCAACATAGCATGTTTCCTTAATGATCAGAGAGTAAGATACCTTTATCATCTCACTCTCTACACAGCTCACTGATTGGACCTTTCTGCTGTCAGACAAAGAAAGATGCAGATAAGTTTCCCCTCATGCTTCTCTGTCTCATGTTATATTTGTTTCTTTTGCTTCAGTAACATGATTTTTGTAGATGTAAGCGACAAAGTAGCTCTATAATTAACTGAGAGAGAGAGTGAGTGAGGTGTTAAATGAGGCGGAGAGAGAGAATGTGCTCGATCAGAAAGGTGAAACCGTCAGAATCAGAGAGGGGGAACAAACCCCACCAATGAATTCATTTAAGAGTGCTTCTCCGACTCTCTGAGGCACAATCCTGGAAGTGCTGAGCAAGAGACAAAGAGGCTGAACTGTCTGAGTTACCCCCCCCCCCCCGAGACATTTTCTTTAACTAGGATGTTCACAACTTATTTTACAAGACGAGGGGAACCTTCTTCAAAAGACGACTTCAGTAAAAAGACAAGCTGTGAGGAGAGGAAAGTGTGACTCAGCAGGTCACTGCTTTGTGCTCAAAAAGCTCCTTTGAGTCTTCGTAAAAAAACGACTTCTTTAACAGAGTTCTTTGATTGTTTGTGAAAATGTTTTAGGCAGCTGGCTTCTAGAACAAAATGTCTTTGGCCCTGTTTCCATCTAGTATTTCTGAGTGCCAGCGTCTTTTTTTAAGTTATTTTCAATGAGTAGAGAGCGTTCCCAGCAGCAGGCGGCCGCCCGGAGAAAAAGTGAAGCAGAAGATAACTCTCATAACCTAGCAGCAACGAGCGCTCGTGATTTCTTAAATTAATTTCTAAAAAAATATGTCACTGTCACAATAAGAGACCCCTCCTTCTGTAAGATGATGTTGATTGGTGCTATTGGATACAGAGCCTCTTGAACCTAACTCTGAGCTGTTTTATTCCTCCTCCTGCAGTTCTCTCCGTTCAGCGGGACGATGTTGGCGTCCTGCTCGTACGACTTCACTGTCAGGTAAGAGCCACTCTGCTCCTTTTTATTTCTTTCCTCAACAGCACTCTGATCATGAAGCCCGGCGTGGGTTCTCGTCTCTGAAAGATCTTTGAATGAGTAAAGATTTACAGATTTAACTCGCTCAGGATTAATGATCCGTGGAAATGAACGAGGTTTAACAGTTTTAGATTAAAACGTGTTTGCACAAAGTCGTTGATGTTAAACATTAGGAGAGGAAACCCCCGCAGAGCGTCTTCTTAAACATCTCAGAAGGAAATGAAGATGACACACATGAACAAACTCTATCACAGATGTCTCTCCTTCTTCATGATCCAATCTAATGTCTCCACACATCCACTGGTTTTCATTTATTCTCCTGCAAGCACCCACTCAGAGTAATTGGAAAAAAGAAGCTGAAGTGTAAAAATCCTGCAGTTCCTGGAGTGTCCACTAGAGGCTGGCTGCAGAAGCACAGGAAGTCACATACACACCCATTCTAAAAAGCCTGTTTTTACAGCAGAGATGAACATGTTTACAGCCTGGTTCAAGAAACCAAATAGGTGTGATTAGCTCATGTCTGGATGGACACACACTGTACGGGGGGTGAATGTTTTGATGACTCATCAGTTTTGATTTGATGAAGGATAAGAGTTATTCACAATAAGGCGTGTAGCTGACCTGATTGACAGGTGGGCGCGGTGTAACGGTTTGTCAGGAGTTTAAAACCCGCCTCAGCTCCAGCTCTCAGCCTGTCGTTAGGTTGACTGAAAGTTAGACTGAGACAGCATTTCCAGCACGGAGACCGCCATCGATGGAACTCCAGCGCCCCCTGCAGGGACAGACGGGGGACATCAAGAACATGAGTAAAGAATGAAAGTCTTCCTGACACCTGAATCAGCGTTTTAAAGGGACATAACAGACGCTCCTGAAGAAGCTTCTGGAGGTGGTTTCCAGCGAGGAGTCGTGTTTCTGCACGCGATGGTTTTCTTTCAATTTCCAACCAGAGTGACACGGATGGCGTTGGCGTAGAAGAGGTGATGAGAGAGAGAGCACGCTGAGGGTAATGTGTCATAAAGCGAGCTGGTGTGTGAGATGGAGAGAAAGATGGAGATGAGATTTTCCTTTATTGAGCTGCAGAGACTCACTTAATAAAAATCTCTAATATCAAGCACGACTGCCCCTGAATGTCTCATTATAACACGTTCCCTCTTCCTCAGCAGGGGGTCCTTGTGAGTGTTCTGCAGCTGTAGGTTAAAGGGGAGTCCCTTTTTGTCTCATACCTAGACTCTGTTTGACATATTTAAGGGTCTCAGTTCTTCTCAACGGGCTCCAGGAACGTGCCCAAGATTTGAAGCTGTCCTTCAGAATCAGAATCAGAATCAGAATCAGAATCTGGGTTTATTGCCAAGTACATTTACACATGGTGTATTGGTGCTAAACAATTAACAAGGAAATAAAGCAGAACTAACAACAACTTAAATAATACAGTATAAGAAGATATTACAATATATAAAAAATATAAAAATAAAAAACACAAAATGTACAAAAGAGCAACAATATGAAATCCCCTTTAAAAAATCATTTTAAAGCTGGATTTAATGGAAGCCAGGCTCTCGAGTAGACGGCGCTCCCCCAACCTTTAGCGAGGTGATCGGGCTCTTCTACCACCGACGTCACTGACGCCCAGCCTCCACCATCTGACTGTGTCGCCCCCTCAACCACCGCCGTCCGTTTTTTGGTGCTACACACATCCTGCGGTTGAAGAATATATTTTATTTTCATTTTTATGAACCAATCGGGTAGTAAAAACATTCTCTGTCTCCAGTTGTTCATGGTCGTACATTTAATATCTTTGGGTTTTGGTCGGTCGGGGCTCAATAAACAATTAAAAAAATGTCACCTTGGGCTCTTGAGGAGTGTCGTGGATTATTATCTGACGGATCAATCAATAATGAAAACGACCTTTACGGCAGAGTAATGATGTAAGAAATGTTTTATGTTACCTAAAGGTCCAATCAGTGAGCTGTGTAGAGAGTGAGATGATAAAGGTATCTTACTATCTGATCATTAAGGAAACATGCTATGTTGAAGTGCTGGCTTCTCTGACAACAATGCAGCAGCCAGTATGTCCTCCTTCTAACTTTAGATTCTGCTCCTGAATGCTCTGGATTTGTTTGGACCAGAGAAGGTAGGCGCTTTTAAGACCCCCCCCACACGGCCTGCGTTTTGGACGCCCCTCTGTTTGTCAGATATGAGAGCAGTTATCAGGTCAACAGGTGTTGCAGTGATGGAAGCGGGCAAGAGAAGTGGTTCAGATAGAAGTGATTGTACCCGACCTAAAAAGCCTCTGCATGTTTCTAATAAGCTCCACGAGCAGAAACGTGCTCAAACTAGGATCAATATTGGAGATGCTTTTGAAAAATGGAGAGAGGTTAGAACACAGAAAGGTTTACAGACCCATGCAGAGCTGGATAAACACTGAAGCTTCAGAGTCCACCACATGGTGACCTGAGTGAACATCCACTCTAGAGAGGAGGGGGAGAGCGCTCTATGATGTTTAGAATTTAGACTGCAGTACATATTTTAAACACTAGGGGTCAGCGTCACATACTGCTCCTTTAATTCACTCCCTTCTTTAGTTGAGAACTCTCTTCTCAAAAGATGAAGGGTTGATTGTTGCAGCTAAAAGAGAGGGGATAGAATGAATAAACGTCAGGTCTTGGTTACGTCAAACGACAGAGAGAGAGAGAGAGAGACAGAGAGAGAGAGAGAGAGAGATGGAGGACGTCAAACGCCGATGGGAGAGAGAGGACGGCTGTAAGATGAATGTGCACAGAGTTGGCTTTTGGCCAAACGCTGTGTTTTATTGATCTGTGCTTTCATTGGCTCAAATACTCTATGCTGAGTACTGATTTCATTACAGGCTGCCCCGACACACACACACACACACACACACACACACACACACATACACAGGGACCTCACCACCTGCCATATCATCGTAGTTTTTCACCTGTAGCTGCAAAAGAAAACAGAGTCTGTATTTATAATCTTTAGAAACAAATCAGAAAAATTCAAAAACAGCCTTTTTTTGTTTCCAGAGAAGAAGCCTGCGGGCTGCAATAACTGAAATGATTCTTAGAGATAATTTATGAGTGACATTATTTAGAATGCTCTGCCTCTCTCTGATGCAGCTCCACAGTAACATCTGTGTTTACGACAGAGCAGTGTGTCAGAGATGGTCTGATGGATCAAACCGTCTTAGAGCGCCCAAATAATCATCAAGAAAATGAACAGGATTTTTACTTCCTGAACCACACTGTTGATCCTCATTCGTCGTAAGCACAAAGCCGGGGTGCTGAAGATATTCATACAGCGTGGTAAATACTGTGGCGCAGTTATCGCCCACTCTCAGCAGATGGTAACGTTTCCACTCCAAGGACCTTATTCACAAAAAGGACAGTGCAGCGTTGGCGTCCGCTAAACTTGTGCAAATGAGTCGAAAAGACACGTTTAAAAAAAAAATCAGGATTAGATGAAAGCGATCCAGAGACAGACTTTTTAAAGGATTACCAAATCTGGATTAAAAGTGCTCTAACTGGGACTTCATACGACATGCTTTGACCGCGGTGGGCGCAAAAAAACAAAAAACACACAGACTGAAAGATCCTCTGATTTGATTGACAGGTGGGCGCGGTGTAACGGTTTGTCAGGAGGTTTAAAACCCGCCTCAGCTCCAGCTCTCAGCCTGTCGTTAGGTTGACTGAAAGTTAGACTGAGACAGCATTTCCAGCACGGAGACCGCCATCGATGGGACTCCAGCGCCCCCTGCAGGAACAGACGGGGGACGTCACTCAGGCTTCAAACATTCATTCTGAGACAGATCAGAGTCACAGAGCCGCCCCTGAAACTGAAAATAAAGAGTTATTAAAATCTAACACAGGAGAAGTTTCCTCAGCGGGTTTCATCACAAAGTCGTGCAGAGAAACTTCTTTAAACACGCTGAAAGCGCTGAGAAGTCGGTGTATCTTTAATTTAATCTCACACTCTGTCTTCTCTGTTATTAACCCCGCCCACTGTCGGCTCTCTGAGATAATCCCTAATCCGTTCATTACTGCAGTGAAAACACAGTTTCAGCCACTTCCATCTTATCTGATTTAAACATTATGAATGGGACGGAGCGAGGGCTGCAAATGATGCTGCAGTCTTCAGTGTTTGTCATGCATGTATGTGTGTAAGTGTGTGTGTGTGCTTCCTTCCTTAGCAACATCACGTACGTTTGTTTAGTGTTAAAATATCCGAACACAAACGGTACCCTGCAGCTAATCATCACCTGTTCTCCACTTGTGTCCAGCCTGAGTGTGTGTGTGTGTGTGTGTGTGTGTGTGTGTGTGTGTGTGTGTGTGTGTGTGTGTGTGTGTGTGTGTGTGTGTGTGTGTGTGTGTGTGTGTGTGTGTGTGTGTGTGTGTGTGTGTGTGTGTGTGTGTAAAGCTTCTAAGCATCGATCATGACTGACTGCAGGACGCTCTAATTACATCATTAACTCGTCTTTTTACATCATTAGCCACCAGTCTCTTCTTCCTCCGTACCTTAGAGGTCTTTCTTCTTTTTGTGTGTTTATGATAACTCAAATTGTTGAAGTGCTGGCTTCAATGCAGCAGCCAGTATGTCCTCCTTCTAACTTTAGATTCTGCTCCTGAATGCTCTGGATTTGTTTGGACCAGAGAAGGTAGGCGCTTTTAAGGCGACCCACACGGCCCCCGTTTTGGACGCCCCTCTGTTTGTCAGATATGAGAGCAGTTATCAGGTCAACAGGTGTTGCAGTGATGGAAGCGGTCAAGAGAAGTGGTTCAGATAGAAGTGATTGTACCCGACCTAAAAAGCCTCTGCATGTTTCTAATAAGCTCCACGAGCAGAAACGTGCTCAAACTAGGATCAATATTGGAGATGCTTTTGAAAAATGGAGAGAGGTTAGAACACAGAAAGGTTTACAGACCCATGCAGAGCTGGATAAACACTGAAGCTTCAGAGTCCACCACATGGTGACCTGAGTGAGCATCCACTCTAGAGAGGAGGGGGGGAGACAGCTCTCTATGATGTTTAGAATTTAGACTGCAGTACACATTTTAAACACTAGATGTGAAAAGTGAACTCAACATATCTCTGACATCTTTTCAATCTGAGTGCCGACTCATCCACCTGTTGGTGTGCTCAGCTTGTGACACCTTCCACTGTGTACACACACACACACACACACACACACACTAACACACACACACCTGCTTCAACAGGACTTCCTGTGTGTTTAGATGCTGGTTGTGACACATTGATCAAATCCACCTGCTCACACAAAGAACAAAACATGAGCGCGCATACAGAACACTCGTATAAGCAAATACATCCGAGCGCACACTGAGTTCTGTTTATCCGCTCTCATACCTCATTTCCTTCTTTTTTTTTTAATGGTAGTCTTCACATT